TGAGGAGACCCAACACGCTCTGCCATTGTCGTAGTGGTAACGGAGAGAGTAGAGCTGGCGGAATGGTCTGTTGGATCTTGAGCCAACGGTCTTCTGGTACGACGATACGGTTGTGATTCGTGATAAATCGAATGCCTAGGAACTGCAGATCTTGGCGATGGTACTAGGTCCGACTTGAGTAAGTTTACTAACCATCCTAGCTGTGTTAGTAGCTTTATGATGTAGTTTAACTGTAGTTTGAGACGCTGTGGATCTTGATCTACTTGTATCCCGTCACGAGGTAGAACGCGACTGCGAGCCCTAGACGATGTAGATAGGTGACAATAGGTTTCGCTATCCTCGCGGAATAGCCAGGGGCTGATGATATGCCGAATGGGAGAGTACTTTCCATTGGTAATGTAGCCCGCCTAGTGTAAATCTTAGATATTTCCTGATTCGGGATGTATCGGGATATGTAGATATGCGCCTTGCAGATCTATACTGGCCATGTAATCCATGGGGCTTAATCAACTGTCAGAACTGAGGAAGGTGTATCATGCTAAACTTTGGTGGTTTGCGAGATAATTCCTGCTGAAAAAGCTCATGTTGTAAATGAGTCTGTATTTCTCCTTGGAGTTTTTCTTGGGTACTAGGAAAACTGGGGAGTAGAAGCCTGGTTCGATGTTTACTTGATCTAGTACTTCTATGGCCTGCTTGGTTATGAGTGATGTAACCGCCTCTTTAACTTTGGTAGTTGTTGTGCCTGTAAGTCTAACTTGTAAGGGTTGACTGTCAGCGAGGCGCGGCCTGTAGTGGGATACTTAAACTGTTTGAAGAATGTTGGAGACATAAGGGTCTTTTAACATTCCCCAGTTCTCCCAGTGTAGTTGGAGGCGCCCACCCACTTGTGACGGTTGTACTGGAACGGCTGGGGTGGAAGACTCCAGTCGCTCAACCTGTCTTTCAGCTTATAGTTGCGGGAACCTCTGGGTGTCCTGCCTCTTCCTGACCCTCCTCTATAGTTGCCATATGGGCTTACGAAAAGAATCTTTTCCTGGCGCTGGCTATCTTCCTATCCCGCTTTCTGTAGTCCCGAAACTTAGATCTCCCTGAGTATCTTTGTGAAGTCTGCCTGATGACGCTGGCTAGCGGTCCATCGACTTGATCATAAGGACTTCTCTGGAGTCCTTAGTGACTTCCTTTGGAGACTTTGTCTATTCCTCCGCCAAAGATGTTTGGGGATGACCACGGGCTGTATAGAGTGGAGCTGTAAAGTTCTCACCCCAGCTGCAGGAAGCGAGGAGGCCTTGACGACGAAGCTAAGGTCAGTGCTGCTGAGACAGATGTGAGATGATCTGTAAGGAACTGCTGGTCCTTCTTTGCATCAGTAGGGCCGAGTAGATCATCCTATCATCTTCAGAGGTCGATACGTAAATCTGGTGATAAGTGTCTCATTGATCGCTCTAGATCTATTTAGGCCAAAACATGCGCCTCGCCATGTTTTCTATCTGCACCAGCTTGGCATCGCCAATCTTGTAGTTCTTGTTCTTAACATCGCTGATCAGCTTGTAGTTTTCATCGATGTCTTGTGCCTTCAGGAAGGGGTCCATGTTGTGCGTGGAGAACTTCTTAGCTGAAAGTTCGGCAGATGTGGTGTCTGCACTTTCGTGAGCTTTAATGAAGGCTGTATCTAGATTATGTGGCACCGCAGCAATCGGGTCGATCGGAGGTAAGGTGATGGCGCCTGCATCGCCTTCCTTCATCAGGTATGTCTGCGCTGAGTTGCCACTCTTGGACGGTGAAGATAAATCTAGGTTGTTTACCATCCAATATCTTATCTCAGCGCCTGAGAAGATGATGCCTCCATCATCTTCTGTACCAGCATCGGAGATGAGAGGTTGATGCTCTTCTGATGGTGACCTGTGGGCTGCTATCTCTATGTCGGGTGACACTCGGGAGACCTGAGTGTAGACCTGTGTGCCGACTTGTGTGTGATGACCTGCGCAGGTGATGTACGCGGAGATCGGGCGCGGAGAACGGCGCGGAGATCGCCTAGGTGATCTGGCGCCTATGGGAAGACCTAGATCTGCGCGAGGAGAATGTTGACGGCTTCGCGGAAGCTCTTGAATAGTCCCTCGACGCCCTTCTGGACGATGACGATCTGTGTGACGGCCTTCGCAGCAGCCTCTCTGCCCCGACCTGGGGAGCGGCGCCTTGACTTCCGCGGACGGTTTCCGCGGACGCCTGGTGGTCTGAGTCTGCATCTGAGGATGAGGCCGAGGACGGTGACGATCTCTCCGCCGCCTTCGCTGGCCTTCGCGAAGACTGTACATCTGCGCCCTTCGCCGAGGTGGTCTGTGACTTCCTTCTCGGCTGCTTCGCCGTGGCTGCTACGCTGACTGGGGTGCCTCTGGGGTATCGCCTCATGCTGCTCGGCCCTGGGCTGGCTGCTTCCCCGACTGTAGTGGCCCTCCATCATGGTCATGATCTGCCGCAACAGCTCGCCTGGGATGGTCTGGCGACGGCGAGTCGGTGCCCTCTCTGCGATGACAGCTGCTGAGCCCTCAGGGAAGTCGCCTGACATCAGTGTAGAGGCATCAGGCTGCATGGCGATCTCTGCTGATGTCACTGTAGCTGTCACCGGTCGCTTCTTGTGGCGTGACGCCAGGGATGATGATCGGCTGATCATCGAGAGGCCCAGTTCGGGCGGCTGGAACGATCTCGCTGAGAAAGTTCTTGACGACTTCGTGACTTCCCCTTGATGTCGACGCTGCCCTGGGGTCCGGGTCTGCGCTGGGAAGACGCCGTGGCCCTCTTGGACTTTAGCTGCGATGACGGACGCCTGGGGAGGCAGGACGCTTCTTAGAGGTGGCGGACTGCATCCCACGCCCATCTTCCGACGGAGTCTCTTGCGTAAACACCAGACGGGAGGGGTCTATCGACAGCAGCTGACTGGAAGGGGAACTGGCTGTATCGGCCATGTCTAACCCTTTGTTTGCGCGACCTATTCGCGGTACGCCTCACGACGCAAAGATATTTATGAAAAGCAGAATTGATAGATTAATGCAGTAACTGCAACGTATCAAACGCACAAGGCGAAGCACAACTAGGGCATAATACATGGGTCAGCAACCTAAAACGTAAATTGCAAATAGTACAGATTTTCATCAACGTAAATACTAGCTGAACAATCACTTAACTCACGGAATAAACAGTAGAAATACGATTAAATATCAATGCAAATTAATGAAGGATACTAGCTATACCTCTATAGTAACCTATAAGAGGTAATAAACTAAGAAAACCAAAGGATATAGTGTGTAAGGAGACACAGGCGCTCTCACATCCTGCTCACTGGGCGAAGAAGGAGAGAGTGAAGCATGAGGCCAGAGGGTGGCGACACCTGTTCCCGCCAAAAGGGGCAAGGGAGGCAACTCGTGGTGAGTACCAATTAGTGATTTTACATTGAAGGGAGCTTCAATTAAGGAGATACAAGTGTTCCACTATGTTCGCAAGAAGAAGAAGACAAGCAAAAGAGCATGAGTCAGGATAAGGAACATCCATGAAATCGGTCGATCAAAAGTGCACACAACACTCAAACTAGCGAGATGGCTACCTCATCTTTCTTTGGTTTGATTCATTGCTACTTGGAATAGCAATCAACCATCATTTCAGCAAGATTTGACCTCTTGGCATGTCGAAACACCTCTATTGCAATATCCCGAGACACAGCAGCATGTCTCAGGTATTGTAATTGTTGCGCTTTTGAAATAGACCTTGCAAGAAACTTTGAACAGCATCAAATACACCCGAAGTACACTTAGGACCATAGTGATTGGCACCATCTATTGGTGAAGTGGTAAAGGGAGAAAAACTGAGGAATGTTACCCATTATATCCTGCTATATGCCTGGAGAGCGGGACCTGGTTGTATCAAACTTTAATGAAGCATTAACGTGTCATTAAACATTCGTTAACTAATGTATCATTAAAATATGTTGTACTAACGTTTTAATGACGTCGTGTTGTCATTAGTGCGTCTTTAAGTTAATGAAGGTTCTGGGGTATCATTAGAGCGTCATTAACTTCCTGGAAAAAGTGTACGTTGTGCCAGAATTTCGTTTGCGCAGCATTGGATCTACCCACAGCTATAAAATTACACAGAAATGTAGAATATAAAATTGCCTATACCATAGTGTAAACTCAAGTGCAAATACTTAGGCTGTTTGAAAAATAGACACTGCTATATGTTATCCCGAATTTCGCTATACGGCGGGGGACACCAGAAATGGGCTTCACTCATTGTACCCATGTGGGGATTCGAACCCGGGGTCTTCGGCGTGACGAGCCAACGCTTTAACCACAAGACTACCCAACCGCCCCTCTAACATCAACACATATACCAAGTTTTACTGCATTTTGAACTGAAATGTACCTTTCAATTTAGACCAAAGATCAAATTAGTGTCAAAACTTAAAATATCTGAAAAATGGAGCTAAAATACTGAACCCTACTACTTACTGCACATGAACCAATTTTCAATTCACTGAGATTAACAATGGCAGAACAATTTTCTAAATTATTGTGGTAATATTGAATTTTGGATTTAAACGTCTCAAACAAATTCAGTTTCATCATTGATGGATATAACCATTTGACATCTCTGTTCCAGTGTTCCAGAGGTTAATAAAGTTAATTAGGAGGAAATGTCCACTACTGATGTCCCTGATCACAAAGCCTCCCCAAAACTTTTGAAACTACATATTGCGGCCATCTGGGTTGAAACTTTTAGAGAGGAAGATGCCATATTTTATGTGTTTTTCAAATCAAAGTTGGAGACTTTGCATCCATATTGAATTCAAATTTTCACGAGCAAACCTCCACACTAAAATGTCCATTAAAACTATTTTGGAGAAGTAAAAAGGATAAAACATACATATAAATAACATCCCCAGCAGATGACTTTTACCAACTATAACCCCCATGGCCTTGCAGACCAGGTGAATATATATTTTTGTGTACCTGTCCCTAACTTGAGGTGAGTCAGGATTCCCATTATCAGAAGCATAAGAATCTTCATCATCAAAATCATCCATCCTATTCTGCAACATGACTTGGCTTGAGGATGGAACCTGCAATTGTTTCTTCAGCCTCTGTGATGTTGATACTTGTGGTGGTTGCAATTGTAGTGGAGCATTGACAGAATGTTGCCACATAGTTGTTTGGATTTGACTTCTTGTGGCACATTTTTGGTTTGATTCAGACAAGTTCAATGTGTCCACATTGCTCTTCATGTCCCTCATGTCATGGTCCTCTTTTTCAACTTTATCCTCTATCCATTTCTCTTCTCTGAAAACATTAATACTGAATCAATCTAAGCTCAACACAATCCTACTTTCAACATTCTGCACTATAAATCCCCCCCCCCCCAAAAAAAAAACTAGAGAGGCATTATCATCAATTGCAAACACAGAAGCAGCTCCTTCTCCAACTTCCCCCAACACCAATTTGATTTCATCTGACATCACAAATACCTACCCATGTTTACCTGTTATGTTGTCTAAAGCAGAACAATACAGTCCTCTATCTGCAGCTTATAATGTTATAAGCTTTGGTGAGGTAAAATACATGCCTTATACAGAAAAAGTTTGAAAGAGAAAGTAGGATGCCTCTTGTGACTGTAACAACTGAGCTATTAGGCAAATGGCATGAACTCCTGTCTTAATAATTTCAACTCCAGTGCTAAAACAAAACTGCACATGCCTTGAGCTACTGCCTTTAACTGCTAATATACAGAAAAAACAGATTGTGCTTTATTGTGAACATCAATTTTCCAAGATACATCAAGTCAATTCTCCTGTCTTAATAATTTCAACTCCAGTGCTAAAACAAAACTGCACATGCCTTGAGCTACTGCCTTTAACTGCTAATATACAGAAAAAACAGATTGTGCTTTATTGTGAACATCAATTTTCCAAGATACATCAAGTCAATTCTCGAGAGGAACAAAGAGTCATAATACTTCCAGACAGTATTTAATAGTTCAAGTGGAGGTGCTCAAATCAGCAAAACAAAACTATTTGGGCAGAAATGCTGTCACTGGCTGATACAAAGACTTGTATGCAGCATATATTAACTATATAATCTATGTTGTGAAGCTTAGCAGCTTCTGTTACGGAAGTCAGGATGTCTCACTGAGGGACCGTTCATAATTTGTGGCTTGGGGGAATGATTATGATTTTTATGGAGAAGCATGTACAATGTGAATGAACCCCCCCCCCACACACACACACACAAAATGCATATATTTATATTATATGTACAAAATCAGTGACACACCCCTTATACATGTGTACAAAATTGATGACAATGGGTGACATCCCCCACCCCAAAACACAAAACAAAACAAATCAAAACAAGAAAAACTTGTGTCCAGGGACATGGATGCCCCCACTGCTGTAGGAAGAGTTCACACATTCAGGGTCCCACTGAAGTACTTGAAAACAATGTGTTGAGGGGTTAGATAACACAACCTATTATCATATTAAGATCAATAATTGAACAAAATTCACAAATAAATTCAATAAACATTTATGCAACTATGAGATGCACACCTTTCGAGTCCCAATGAAACACACGTATAAGCTTAATCAATTCTGTTGAGCAGTTTTTGTGGAGAAGTGGGCACTATCATCAGAGAGAAATTCAACAAAATTTATCTCTAAACATACACAAAATATACAAAAACAAAATATGAGATGCACACCTTTAGAGTCTCTATAAAAGACATATGTAAGCTAAATGAGTTTTGTGCAGTGGTTTTTGAGGAGAAGTGGATAAAGTACACCCCCTGTTGTTTGGGACGAACAGGATGAATAGAACCAAATTCAACTAAGTTCAAACATCTGTAGAAGTGACAAAATTAAGAAATTGGATGAACAAGGTATGAGATGCACACCTTTAGAGATCCAATGAAACACACGTAGAAGCTCAATCAATTCTGTTGAGCAGCTTTTGTGGAGAAGTGGATAGACTTCATCCCTTATAACACTATGTAGTAGATACAATGATAGTCCGAGACCAAGTCCAACAAAAGCCTCTGCAAAGCCTTATTTCACAAATAAACCCCCAGTTAACTTCCCGGCCCCACGTGGCACTACTGTGCCGCTATGACGTGTTGACAGCAGGTTCACATTGTACCGTACGGTATGATCAATAATTCCTCTCTAACGAACCCTCTCCCTGGCCCATCTCTCAAGTAGTACAAGTTCGGCTCGTCGACTTTTATCTATGTTGTAAGTTTTGACTGACCATATCGGATCGGTGGCTCGCTTACGACTATCACCCTTGTGTTCCCCCGGCTGGTATAGGTACCTCACGAGGGCCCTATCTGGTATCTGTTTCTCTTTCCCACGCAATGGCGCAGCCGACTCTGCCACTATTGATTTTAGTTTGATAGCGTCGGCTGGTTTCTTGCCGGTGAGACCGATTTCGTGGTTGATGGCTGACACCACCTGAGGTAGCCGCGCTACCCATTCAGTCGATCGCTTCCCCGGGTTGGTCATCTCTCTCGCATACTGATGCCCAAATAAGCGCTCTGCCAAAGTCCGATTGAATCTCTCAACTATGGCTTGGCTACGATGAGCCCCGGCAGCACCACGCCTGACCTTGGTATCGTGTTTGTCTAGCAGGTGTGACACAGCACCCATGAACTCCCGCCAGGGGTCGACTTGCAGCTCTGTGGGCCACGTCAGCGGACTGCGTTTGTACATGCGGTCGAATCCGCGGGCTACCTGGGCCGAGTCTTTCACGGTCAAGGGTTCGGCTTCCTTGTAGCAACTGGCAACGTCCACAATGGTTAGGGCATACTTGTACCTCTTGTCGTGGGGTAGGAATAGGAGGTCGGCCTGGTGAACGCTATTGGGTATGTTAATACCGAACTTCCTTCTAGGCACGTAGCGTGGTGCCGGTAAATAGATCTGCCACAGGGCTTGTTTTTCAAGCCATGCTTTGGCCTCGTCCGGTGGTACTCGAGCCAATTTGGGCAGCTTATGTACGGCGCCAGCACCTTTCCAGTACCCACGCGGGCTGTAGTAAATAGCCTCAAACTTTCTTTGGTTCCGTGACATCCTGACATATATACACCTATGTTCTTGGTTCAATTTTCTCATGCCCGTACGCGTACGTGTTGATCCCATCAATAGCTATCCAACGCTTAGTGTCCATCGGCGACAGGGACGTCTTGTTTATAGTCTTGTTTAACAGGCCAGTTGAATTTGATGTGGCTTTTCTTCATGTGTAGCGCAACTAGGTCGTCGGTGAATATCTTGCTCCGGTTGAATGCCTGGCTGGCTATCAGTCTCCTGAGCTTGTCTTCCTCATTCGACCGAACCAGCTTCACGGTCACGCGTTTCCTCAGGTTCTCCATAGTCTTACCGAACACCGAGTTGTTCATGAGCTTGTAGAGGTTTTTCTCAAAGTCGCTGGTGGCCAGCTTTCGCAGGTCCGTGTTCATTCTGATGTAAGGCTCCATCCAGGGGCTCTGGTTGAACACGAGCACCCTGTGTATTTTGGTCAGCCTCATACCCAACGACAGGTACAGCTGTAGGTTGCGATAGTGAACGATGTACTTGGTCTTATTCATTAAGTTGGGCACTAGTTTTTCAACGTCTGCCACCTGCCCACCTAACAAGTTATGTTGGTACTCAGACATCCAGTCTGGGTTAACCCTCATACGTTCGGGGGCCAGGGGGGTAGCTGTTGTGTGATGTGTGTAATGCCTTGGGGTATTCTAAGTCCACCTCGAGGATATAGCCTTTGTTCGAATCTGGCGCGATGCTCATAACATCGATCTCGTGCGATGCCCATTCGAACCCCCCTGTGGGTAGATACTGGCTCATGGCCCAGCCGTACAGGTTGTTGGCGTCGAGGTAGAGAATATGATTGGTTGGCTTGCTCGGGTCATAGCCCTTCACGTATTGATTATTTGCTTTCGCGTATCGTTTGGTAGCCATGGAAATCCCACCTTGCAAGCCTTTCTCAATGAATAGGTGCATGTCGTAATCGGTGAGCAATTCCAACTTAACTCCGGTCTTTTTCAGCAATGCATCCCACGACAGACCTGGGCTGGTGTAGTACCATGTGGGGTCGAGTTGGTACTGCTTAAAACACGTCCTCCTAAACGTCTCAAACACGACATTACAAACATTACAAACAGTACATCTGTCTTCAAGTACAGGTCGTGATAGTCACCCAGATTCTTACAGCCCAGTTTATTCCATACGTTAATCGCGTGCGAGTAATCGTCTTGGGTGATTGTCGAGTCGGTCAGGTTGCTGTAAAATTCTCTGATGGGGGGTAGTCGGGTCTCGGCGAACTTGGCCCAGCCATCCATGTACTCGTAGGGGTACACACCCTTCCTCATCAGCAGGGGTCGAGTCTCGGCATCGGTATATCGATCGGTGATGGGGAAGGTATCGTTGGCCTTGACCAGACTGTCGAGTGACGACAGGAGGAACTGAACTGAGTCGATGAACCTCAGGCCATTCAAGCTGTAGGAGATGTATCTCTCCATGTTGTTGGGTATGTACATCAGGTTGCCGTCGACTTTCGCGATGGCCTGCATGATCAAGTGAGAGTCATACCCTCTCAAGTTGTGGAAGACCACGGGGGATGTTTATTGTCTAGGGGGTGATTCTAAGCTTGAGGTTACACACGCTGTGAGCGGCGCCTCTATACTTGCCGGCGACATGGCAGTGATCTCTCACCGAATCACCGTTCAGTGGGCTATCACACACGTGGCAGTGAGTGCTGCAGGCTGTGTATAGTGCATTCCTAATACTTTTCTCTTCCTCCTGCAAACACTTTAGAAACTTTTCAGCCGTGTCGGGACCCCTGTACACTACGGGAGCTTTCGTTTCCCCATCACATCGGACGACCACGTATCCAAACCCACAGGCCTCGTGCTCCTGTGTTTTTTGTGTGGCTAGGGTACCCCCGGCAGCCTCAACAGGTTTGACCAAGGCTTCAAAGTCGGCGTAAATGACATAAGGCACAGACATTTGGTTCTTGTGGTTGTCGAATTTTAGGATATTGTGACCTTCCTTAGGCATGTCGACTCGTATGGCCGTCTGCCCCACACCTTGACAATCCTCCCGGTGGGATTCTAATAAATCATCTCGTGTGAAACCGTGTAGGCATCATATGCAAAAGTGTTTTTTCCCATCGTGTTTCGACTGGTCGTGCAACAGCCTGCTAAGGTGTTTTATCCACGTGTAGTGATACTTATCGCCTCGCTGGGTCATGAATATATTGATCACGTGGTGGGGTCCCCCCAACATTGGACTGAC